TCGCTTCGGGAAGGAAGACTGCGGGCAACAGTGCGTCAGGTAAGGACGAACGGGGTCAACCCTCCTCGCACGGAGGAGGGAAAACAGGTAAAAGGGTTAACATATATATAAATATATATATATATATAAATATATATATATATATATATATATGTAAATATATATTTATATATATGAATTAAAACACAATTTTACCCGCGCGCGAAGACGCGACAAAATGGATATCCTCCCTAAGCAAAATTGACGTTCCGGACGCGGTGGCGCAGTCCGTTTCGTCATCAGAGGTCGTTTCGACGAATTCATCGATTTGCGCGCCAATTTTCTCGTGTCGAAAATATGGCAATATGGGCGTCTTCCGTGGGCAAAATCGACGTTCCGGACGTGCCGGCGCAGTCCGTTTCGTCATCCGGGGTCGCTCGGACGACGTCGTCGACAGTCAGGTCAAAACGCGTCGAAATTCAAATTTCACAAAATCTCGACCCGCGATCGATCGTCACAAGTGGTTTACTCGAGTCCTCGGCAAATAACGGTGCAGGCGATGCGAATTGCAGCAATCGGACGCGTCGACTCTCTGAATTGCAAAGCTGGTGCGCGCAGAAGTGCGAATTGTGCAGAAGGCCAACCTAAGGCTCGGAAAGGTCTTATAGGAATCCATTTTGGGTTTCCTCATGTCGGTTTCATCCTTCTAAGTGTTAGAAGTTGATACCAAACACGCGAAACTCCAAAAGAGGACAGAAACAGGTCGAACTAAAACGAGGCGGGCACCACTTCTAAGGTTCTAAGATAGTCGCAGGAAGACCCCTGAGGCTAGATCCTAACTCCTACGAGAAAAACTAGACCTCACGAAAATTGAGGTCAACAATGACATTCTGTCTTTGGGCATTCTTAATTTTCTAGATATGGTACCCTTTGAGGTGTAGAAAGATGTTAAAAAAATGCATACAACCAGTGCTTTGAATTATATTTGTATGTTACCCATTAGGCTTAGCATATTGCATAATCTTCATATTATTGTTTTATTACTTGTAAAGGTACATGGACCATTGAATATTAATAGACTTTGGCATGAAATGTTTTAATTCGCCAAACAAGAAATAGAAGAATATGCTTCTCATAGAAATTGAAAAAAATAAAATATTTAGGAGGGTTAAGTGGAAGATGTCTAGAAGCTATGGAGGAATGGTAAAACGCTATTCATATTTTTTATTGTCAAGGATGATGTTTGAGAAGGCTTGATACAAATTTACACTATTAAGTTGGAATAAATGGGGAAGTTGCTAATAAAATTGAGGTGATATGTGTGAAACCTCTTAAGTATAATGAAATTAAATTCTTAAACATCGAAGCGTTTTTTGGTATAACGGTTGAAATTTCATCATAAATTCCAATGCTAAGTGTACTTGTGCGTAAGCACTCCTGGAATGGGTGACCTCTTTTGGAGTTTACACCAATGGGACAAAACCGTGAAACCATTAGGCCAAAACAGACAATATTTCGATGGGTAGTATCAGAGCATTGCATTAGCATGACATATTTGTCTGGTGGATGGTTTTGGGTCAAGAAAACTGATGAGGATGTCAATTACTTAAATGAGGGCAATTGTGAAACCCAAGTAGAATAAAATTGAGCACTTAAACATCGATGCATCTTTTGGTGTAACGGTTGGTGTTTCATAGAAATTTAAAAGTTATGCGTGCTCGTGTGGGAGCACTTCTCGCATGGGTGACCTCCTGTGAAGTTACACCAATGGGATAAAGCCGTAAGGCCATTAGGCCAAAGCTAATAATATTTTAATGGGTGAGATTTTGGGTTGTTACAACATGCATAATATTTCTTGCATTCAGTTTCGAGCTAGCTACTCTAGAATGTTTGTGGAAGTATTTTCTTTCAATGCTCTTTTTGCTTGTTTTTTTTTAATTGGTGAAAGTTTAACTTTAAATTGTTTTCATCGGTATCTGCATTGTATAAAGGCAGCGATTTGTGTAAGAAAATCTATTATATGTCGGAGTTAAAAATACCTTTATTTACTTAAATGTTGTAATAGTTAAATGATCAAGAATTTGCAGGGTTTTGTAAGCCAGCTTGGCACCTACCAAATAAAATTTTCAATGATTTTTTTCCTCTTAAGTTTCCAAATGTGTGCATGCAATTCTGCTTTTGAACAAATCATCCTTTCTGCCCGTCCAAATTCAATCCAGCCTCGAAAAGAGGGCTAAAGAGAATTGCTGCAGAATGCGATTGGTTATGTTAATTATTTAATTTTACATAACAATACTGGCTTGTGCTTTCTTTCAGGTGCAACTGCTGAGTTAAACAGTTTGGAATTTCAGAGATATAGTCCGCTGAAGAATCAAAATTCTCACGTTAATACATACGAAGAGGTAGATCCTTGCAGGAACTTGCAGTTTGTGAATAAAGTTAGCGCCAAAGTATTGGGGGAAAGTGTTCCAACTCCGCTGAGCCGAGATCATGTTGGAGGTGAAAATCTGTTAATTATAAATGGGACTGATATGGAGCATGACCATGGAGATTTCAAACAGTTGGTTGTGAAAGAGCCGTTAGAACAGATGTCTGTTAATCCTCTAATGGAACATTTCAAGGAAGGCCAGAATGTAATGATGTCTGAAATGGAAGCTGTTGCCTGGAGAGATTCTCATTTGAGGACGACAAATGCCTATATTACTGAGAATGCTGAATCCTCTCTGCTGAATCCGCTCCTCGAAAAACATGATAATGAGAACATTAATGAGTCGATGATTTCTGAAATGGAAGCTGATCCGCAGGGAGGTTTTCATTTGTTGATAACAGAGTCCTATATTGCTGACAATGCGGAAACTTGTTTAGCCCTTGAGAAACCTCCGGATGAAAACTTAAATATAATAGGGCAATCACGGCATCATGAATGCCGGGATCATCAAAATACACCCCTTGGTGACTCAGAACACATTTCCATGGAAACAAAAGATGTTTCTGCAGCTGTGTTTATGGACTCTGAATGTTTAATTCGTGCTGAAGATGTGAGTAATGCTGTCATTACGTCGAGTACGGACAAGGATAAACATGTCAATGCTGCGGATATGGAGAATTCAAAATGTCGTCAAATTTTTCTTGCTCGTGGTATTGAGATTGATAATGTTGCTGCTAACAGTGGGTCAGAATTCCTACTAGAGGAGACTATTGGATCGGCCCATAAAGGAGGTCACATTTTAGTTGCAGAAAATGAAGGAAGGTCCATACCTGATACTGCCTGTGCAGAAGTTGAATGCATGGCTTCTTTGTCTGCCCCTACTGTACTTGCTCCCTTCACAGTTGAAGAAAATTCTGTTGTAGAGTATAACTTTGAGTCTGGTCCCATAGAGGAGACTATTGGATTAGCTCCTGAAGGAGATGGCCATAATTTAGTTGCGGCAAATGATGGAAGGTCCATGCCTGATGCTTCCTGTGCAGAAGTTGAGTGCATGGCTTCTTTGTCTGCCCCTACTGAGCGTGCTCCCTTCACAGTTGAAGAAAATTCTGTCGTAGAGGAGTATAACCTTGAGTCTGGTCCCATAGGTTTTGCTGGAACACGTGATTCTAGTGTAAGCCTCATGCTTCTTCTCAATGCTTAGTTGTAGGAAAACATCAAATTTTACTGCTTACACCCAGTTATTTATTGAATGACTTCCGAACAAATTTTAGCTTTGGTGAATCAGTTTTTGATATTATTTATGTCTATCCACTTCTTTATATCCTTCTTTTGATGAAGTCTTCTAATGTTTTGGTGCTTGGATTTCAGGATTTTTGCGGTGCAATTGATGACAACCATGCTGGTATTTTCTTTTCCTTAAATGGTGTCTACTCATGTTTTCTTTTTAATTTTTCTGAATTTTTGAAATGACTACTATTCAAATTTCAGTCTAAGAGGTTGTTTGGTATTAATTTTGTTTTCTTTTTTATTTTGTCTTTTTTTTTAAAAAAAAATTGTGTATGGTTTTTTTTTAATCTTTTAGTTAATGTTAGTTACTTTTAAAATACTTTTAAGTCACTTTTAGTTGTTTTAAGTGTTTCTAAAAACAACCACCAGTTCCGCTACCTCCATCCACTAGTGACCATCTCTGGCTATTGCCAACTATCTTTGGCCACCACCAATGACTATTTTTAAACAGTGTTGATAATTACCGCCGCTGCGGGCAACTATCTCTGACCACAACTAGTGCTTGTTATCACCCCGACAACTATGGGAAATAAAAAAAATTCTGAATATACATGCGTGTGCGTGTGCGTGTGTGTGGTATTTCATGTCAGAATATACATACAACAACAACAAAGCTTTCATCCCAACTACGTGGGGTCGGCTACATGAATCCTTTTTTTCCATCGCGCCCTATTTAGTGTCAGAATATACATAAAATAAAATAAAAATAAAAAAATAGAAGTTTAATACATAAAGTAATCCTAAATGGCCCCTATTGTATTGATTTGGAAGCTAAACAAATTTGGTGATTGCATTGCCACCTAAAATAGAATTGTACTCTTAATTGATGGAGGGTATAGATATTGTGATATACAAATTATAAATCTTCAAACATTGTGGGAGTCTTTTATTTAATGTTAGTTACTTTTAAAATACTTTATGTTATTTTTATTTTTATTAAGTGTTTCTAAAAACAACCACCACTTTCGCTACCTCGATTCACTGGTGACCAACTCCGGCTATTGCCAAATATCTCTGGCCACCACCAATGACTATCTTTAAACAATGTTGACAATTACCGCCATTGTTGGCAACTATCTCCGACCATGACTAGTGATTGTCATCGTCCCCACAACTACGGGAATTAAAAAATTCAATTTTCAACATATATTGTTTCATTTAAAAATATACATAAAATAAAACAAAAATAAAAAATAAAAGTTTAATCCTTAGTATTGATTTGGAAGCTAAACAAATTTGATGATTGCATTGCCATCTAAAATAGAACGGTACTCTTAATTGATTAAGAGTATAGATATTGTGATGTACAAATTATAAATCTTCAAACATTTGGGGAGTCTTAAATTTTGTTTGCTCTCTTATTGTCTTTGAACTAGTGTTATCAAAGAGCTAAGCTTAATGTAATGTGTAAGACTTATTTTTTCTTTAAAGCGCAAAGTGTGGAGCGAAGCGGTACTTTTATTAATTAAAATGCTAATAGGTCATACAAAATTATTCATGTTTAACTAAATTCATCAACAATTATATAATATAAAGTATGCCTTAAAAGTTGATATAAAATAAAAAAAAAATGTGATACAATACATAACTTGAAGGCAAATATAAAACCTGCAAATTAAATTTTTGAATAATTTCTATTAGTTTGCTACAATTAATAAAAATGTTGAAATTTTAAATAAAATCTTGCAAATTAACTTCAACTTTTCGAAGCGCGCCACAGTGAATTGAAGTGGAAGTCATGCGCTTCGCTTTACTTTTTTCGTTTTAAGAACGTTGCTTTGAACATGTTATGTTATAATTAATGTTTATTCTTTTTGGTTATACATGGATCAGATGGGCTCATCTTTTATTTTTTTATTGGCATGATACAATAAAGCTTCTCTCCTTGCAATGTCTACTTAATTTGTATTCATTTTATTAGGTTTGATGTGAAAGTTTTTTACTTTCAATTAATTGTTAACCTAATGCAAACCATTAATCTTTCTTATTCAGGGTATGGACATGACAACAACAAGAGTACCACCACTAATAATAATAATAATAATAATATCACCATTATTGACATTAATAACAACATATACCTATTGAATAAATGATAATTATTGGAGGTGATTTAAATGGGTACATTGAGTCTAATAAGGTGAGTATGAGAGAATTTATGATGATTATGAAATATGGGTTAGAAATATAATTATGAAATATGAGATAGAAATATAATAGAATCAGTTGTACTTAATTTCATAGCAGCTTATTAACTTGTAAGATTGTACACATACTTTAAAAACCAAGATGAACATTTGGTTTCTTATAGAAGTGGTGCTATTAAATTACAAATAGCTTTCTTATTACTTGGAAAAGAGATCTTGTAAAGATTGAAATTGATTCCATGATAAATTTTGACTAAGCAACACATGAATTTAGTTATTAATATTTATTTCAAGTTTAAAGAAAACAAATGAAAAAAATTTTGGTTGGACTTTTGAAGTTGAGAATTTGTTTTGTGGCCTCAAAAATTTTGCGCTGTGGCCCCTCTCAATAATGCAAGAGTTCTATGTGTATGCTTTTTGCTAAGATATCCTTCTTGTGGATAAAATTAGATAAAGAGTTTAGGAAAAACTTGAATTATGGAGGTTTACTTTAGAGTCTAAAGACTTTTTTTTTTAGTAGATTTAAAACTGAATACATGAAATGTAATTTTATTAGTAGTAGATATAATAGCGGAGTTGTAACAATGGGTGATCAAATCATTAGAAGTAATTAACGTTTTAGATATCTCGGGTCTATTGTTCAAAGTGATGGTGATATGGATGGGGATGTTATTATTAGAATTAAAGTTGGATAGTCGAAGTGGAGTACTGCTTTGGGCCTGTTTTGTGATAAAAAAGTGTTGCTTAGACTTAAAGGAAAATTTTATATGATGGTGGTTAGACTTGCAATACTTTATGGTGCATAATGTTGGCCTATAAAAGAGAAGCATAGACTAAGTTAAGTGTTGCTGAGATGAGAATGCCTAGGTGGATGAATGCCTTTACAATTAGAGACAAAATGCGAAGCGAATATATTCGTGAAAGGGTTGGTGTAGCTCTAGTGGCAGAAAAGATTAGAAAGAGTCATCTTAGATGGTTTGGTCACATTAAATGTCAACCATCTCATGATTTAATTAGGAGAGTAGATGTTTTAGATTTGACTTGTGTAAAAAAAGATGGAGGTATACCTAAAAAGATTTGGGCATGCTGCATAAAAATGATCTTAATTTATTAAAATTAAATGAAATTATGAAACTCTACAGGTCACAATGGAGAAAAAGGATTTATGTTAGGTGATTCCGCTTAGTGGGATAAATGCTTGTTGTTGTTATATACTAGACTGTAGATAAGACACTACCCAAAACTTGCACTGTCATTTTGTGAGGTTTAATGTTTCCCATGAGTAGAAGATAGTATGATTAATTTTCTTTCAGGGAACAATAGAATACTTTTGATTAAGATTAGTCATTAAAGCGTTGAATGTTGAGCATATGGTAGCAACAATGAAGGCTTGGATTTTAGATTTAGATTTTATCATTGTGATTTTAATGCATATGTTTGAGGGAATGATGACAATTCCAATCAAGATTCCATAATTTTATCATCCTGGGTTTTTATGAACCTGGTCTACTTATGTAAAGGAGGTGGCCATCTCAATTTGGTTGAAGAACTCTTATTGGCAGTCATGAGTTGTTTCATCTAATGGAAATCCATGGACTTGGAGGGAATATTTGTCTAATGTAATTATTTTAAGTCAACTTAGTGAATAGAGAGCTGAATGTTCTACCAAATACATAATATAATTCACATCTTAATTGACATGATACTATTGGGAAACATGTGTCATAGCTATGACCATAATATAGTAGAGTCTATTTAGCCAATCAACCTTATTAGAAAGTTTTTGTCCTTACCGCTGTATTGTTAAGTTGATTGGCCAATTCACACTTATAGAGGACTCAAACTAAGTTCTTATTAGCGAATGTTGGTTTGAGAGCATACATAGTGATGTAATTTATATGGCATTAGTTCCTTGTGAGTTCTGGTTAATTTTAAATATGTCGACCTCGATCAATTGGTATTGAGGGTGGATGTGTTTTGCTTGATTTTATTAATTAAAATTTGTTTGAATATTTAGTTTTAAATTATTAGAAAATTTTAATAAATATTGTTAAATTTTTTTAAAATTTAAAAAACTTTATGAAAATATCTTATTTGCTTAAAATTTTTTGTCAATGCGACTGGCATCACAGTTTTAGATGATTACATTAGTAATTTGGCCTGATTTAAGTGCCTTCTCCGGTTAAAATTTTCTATCAATGCGGTCATTGTCGAGGAGTTTGTATTTATTAAATTTGTAACTTGAGAACTTGATTTTATAAGTGGATCAATTCAATTGAATATTTCTATCGACCTATTTATTCCTAGAGATTTTAAATTATTGAACTTGTTATTTCAGAGCTTGAATTTATAAGTGAGTCCTTCCGATTGAAATTTTCTATCATTGGGGAATTTGAATTGTTGAAGTTGTAATATGAGGGCTTGATTTTATAAATGGACTCCTATGGTTGTGATTTTTTACTTATGTAGCTATCATCAAAGTGATAATACTTGAAATGCTTTTATTCATGATTTGATTGAATTTTATTGCAAACATCTATAGTCTTGTCAACTCTAGTTTCTATCAAGAGGAGGTTCTGACTGTCTAGGTTTGGGCTCAATCTCGTTGTTTCCGATTTTTATGAGAAGGATTAGATTGATTGATGTGGAACTTATGAACTTTCCCTATAGATAAGGCGGCCAGCTTGAGAGTGTATAGGACTAGATGTTTTAAATTTTGTAAAGATGGATTTTTTAATGTTTAAAATATTTGCATGATTCTCAGAGCAGAGGCAATGGGGCCTGATTTTGTTTTTTGGCCCGTGCAACATTTTCAAACCTATAAATTTGGGCATTTAAGATAAAGTTGGAGCACATATATGCATTTCAATTTATAGATTCGGGAAATTTAACATATTTAACTTACTTTTTGAAGGTAGGATAGTTTAAAATTTAACTTATTCCAAATTCACGCAGTATTCTCAGATTATATGTTGAAACATTGAACATAATGGTCAGGGCATATGCAATCTTAACTTCCACTAGTAAGCATGCATCTTAGTGCATTTCTACAATGCACTTAAACGAGCACTTATCACCTTTTATCCGCTTGTATGTTCAGGCTGCGGATCCGACTGTGATTTGGAGAATGCCTCATAAAATATTTACAAGCCATGAAATTATATGAATTTGGTTAATTGCACTAATATTTAATGTTTAAAATGCATGCAAAATTTCATTTTGATCATTGTAAAGTTCATCTTTGGTGCGCATGTTGGTATATTGTGGATCCACTGACAATTTAGGATGAGTAGGAACTTCATTGAGCATTTGAAAATGGTATTTATCTACTTAGTTTTAATTCTCATTTGACTATTCAAATAAGCCTCACAGTGATCGTCATTTGTCTTCAAATAAAGGGTTCATATTTAGTCACTTCCAAATGTACTCATTGCTCATGATCCTGATTGTTCTGAAACTCAGTGTGGGATTAAGTTCAAGCTTTTTAGGACGGCTGCTGAGTTTACTACTGCTGAATTATGTATTCTTTTATAATATGTTGAAATCAATGTCTATGGAGAGAATTTTGTTGATGCTTGTTGGCGAGCTTGTGGAATTTTTATAGGTTTCATTTATGATTGTTAACGTGATGTTAAATCCTCTATTTTATTGTTATTTGTTCATTTCTTGTTCCACACTTTTGTTCTATTTATACTACCTTGAATGAAAGTTTTAGCGTTTTGGTTTTTTCTTAATTTTGCATTTTATTTTTGTCATTTTGTTGTTCAACATATTTGTTTGAGTTTTGTTCGTTGCGGTTCTTTCAGTCCCAAATCTGAAATCACTCCAACGTCACCTTCTACGATAGGTAGGTACTTGGACTAGGAAAAAAAATATGCATGAGTGCTTTGCACCAAGACCTGATATTTTCGTCTCCCACCACTTAACAAAGATATGTATTGGTCTTTGAACTTGCATGGAAGCAAACACAAGCATAACAGTCTTTTCCCCGCCTCACTCAAAAAGCAGGCACTTATATTTGATGGTAAAGCATCCTCCTCCCTATCGCGCTAAGAAAATAATGTATAGGATTTCACTTGCATGAAAACACACAGGCACAGTAGATGAAAACACACAAGCACGGTAGGATTTCCATTACTTAATTTTGAGGTTTTTGGTGGATTTGCATTAGTGATATACTTTTGCACAAGATTGATGATAGTGAAATGATGATTGATTTTTTTATGTTTTAATTTAGATAGATAGTGAGTGTTGGAAGGTAGTGAGAGAAATATGATAGAGAAATAAAAGAGTGAAGGAGTTAGAGAGAAGTTGAAGTGAACAAAAAAAAGAAAGATGTGGAGAGTAGATGGGATTCTATCTATTCAGAGAGAAAATGAGTGGATATAATTCTCTTTCTTAGTTTAAAGAGAGAGAGTGAGGGGAGGTTGTTGGTTTTTCCAGTGACCTGCAAGTGATCTGACAAGAGGAGTTGAAGTTGAGGTGTTAGCTTAAGGCGAAGGCATGCAGGAGTGGGAGGGGAGCTGAGTCGTGAATGAGGAAGCCAAAATTTTAAGAAAATTGTATTTAATTGTTTTAGAGTAGAAATATAATTACCAATCTGACTTGGAAACTAGCTTGCCACTTATTCCTTTAAAATTACTTAATTTGATGCCTATAGCAACAAATTTTGCATTTAAAACTCAATTCTTTTATAATTCTAATCACCTCTAAATTGTATAAGATCATATTTAATTTTATAGACTAAAAATTTTAATTCTTATATTTAATAATATATCCGAAATTTAATCTATTTAAATAGCCATCATTATTTTAATATTTATATTTATTTAAATATATAAACTATTATTAATCATTGAAATCTCTAATTTATTATTCAATATATTATAATAGTTAAACTTCAAGTCTCTCAATTCAGTTAATTCAAACTAGAAAGTTGAGATACTAATCTTTACTCGTGACTTCTTTAATAATTAAGGTAAATTTTTGTTCATATTTCTCTGTTATGACTGTGTCCTCGTACATCGTGCTCAATTGAGAAGCTTTGGACGAGGCACCATATATTTTACTAAGCACGGATCCGAAAAGAGAAAAAAAAAATAATGGAAGTCAAAATATAAATGAAACTCCTTTGAGATAGAAAAGCGGGAAATAACTCCTTGAAAAGGGAAAAAATGCCAATATGCTGATAAAAAAAAGAAACTATAAAAAATTTGATGAAGCCTTGGAAAATTCTTACATACTTCTATGAGCTCTTTTTAAGAGTTTCATACTTCTTCAAGGCCTTATTTAAGCATGTAAAACTCTTCACAACTTGTACTAATGGTGTAGTTACCCAAAATTCTAGAAAATACACGGAGTTCCTAGGAAATTCTCTTCGTCCTACCTTATATTTTAAGGCTACGTCCTTTCTTTTATGCTTAGAATTTTACTGAGTTGAAATAATGAGAGTTTTGAACAATCTATTAATGAGTTTGAGTTATTTCTCTTTTCTGTTTTTCTTCTAGTTCTAGCAACTAATGTTCATAAATTTACTTTCCTTTACTTTTGACTAGGTACTTATCAACTTCTCTCTCTTTTGCTAGAACTTTTAAATGTGGATGCTGAAGCGGACTTTGTAGCAGAAGATGGCGCACCTAATCCTGAGGCAACCAAATTACTCGAGAGCAGTGGCTGGTCCGTTCGAACAAGGTGAGCTTCCTCTTGTATTCTTTCCCCACATTACCTGACTCTTGCTTCAAAATACTATCCTTTGAACTGTTTTAACCATCTATTTTATACTGAATGTATATTTCAGGGGCGTTGCAAAATACTTAAAAAACTTGTTTTATGAAGAATCTGTGCTTGGGAAAAAAACTGTTGCAGTTGACCGTCTTTTATTTGGCAAAACTCGCAAAGAAGCATCGAGACTGTTTTTCGAAACCTTGGTATGAATCATTTTTCTTTTCCTCTACTGTATCTATTTGTTTGCATTAATTATACCTTTAATGTTGCAATTAACATAATTAATCTTTTTGTGATGGCTTAATGAATTTTTTAGTTGCTGATACTTTACAGGTCCTAAAGAGCAGGGACTACATTCTAGTGGAGCAGGAAACTCCTTTTGCTTACATTAAAATCAAGCCTAGAATAAAGCTTCTGCAAGCTGAATTCTGATTCTCATCAGCTGATAGAAATTTATAAACCAGCCCAGTTTTATCACTTCTGCTAAAATTACTCCTAATTTGTTAAAGGTATCTCTTTTTTTTATTTATTTTTCCCCCACAATTCCTCCCACTAATTTGTTAGCAAGGGATGAAAGAAAGCATGTGCAGCTTGTTTTTTTTAATTATTATTTTAAATAATTTGATGCTGTGTATATATGTGTTACAGTCTCTTTCTGTAATTATAAAATCTTCAGGAGGTTTTGTTTTCTTATGAATTTTGTTTTGCTCTTTGATTGTGGAGTTTTGTTTGGAGCTGGATCTGCGCAGGAAAAAGGTTTTTATGAAGTAATACTTTGTTGATGTGTAGATGGTCTTTTTGAATGCTGAAATTTGATATTTTCTTATGAATCTTCAATTGTCCCTGTTCGAAAGCTGTTCTTGGGAAAAAAAAAATGTGTGTACGATAGACATACGCAACGCTGCGCACGATTTTGAGGGTATAAGAGGGTTATATCCACGATATAACTCCTTTGTAAACTCCATGTAACATTCTGTAACTTATCTGTTACCTGCTAATAAATTCTTAATATATGATAACAGAAGTACGAAATTTATTTGTAGGTTACAAGTACATTATAACACGGATATAACCCGTTTATACCCTCTGTATAATCTCGAAATAACTGCGCAAATTTTTTCCCTATTCTTGGGATTGATTTAAACCCATTTGTCTGCTGAATTAGCTCGTTTATTTGAATTAATTTGTTTGATTATTTAACAAAATTATTTTGAATTTAATCTTAATTAATAAAAAAATTTATTTATTTATTTATCTATTTATCAAGTTGTGCTCAACAATAGTTTTGTACTTTTTATTCTCTTTTTATGCATGTAAACATCAAATATAATTTTTGAACTGCCGACGTGGGACTAAGAAAAGCTAGGCATGGGGCTGGGCAGGCTCAGATGGCAAGATGATTGAATTGAGAAATTTTTTCAGGAATTTACATACTTACCACCCTTTTTTATATATTTATATATGTTGTCTGTGTATTTACATATGGCAGATTCGTGATTTTCCAAAAAAGTAAGAAAGGCAGGTGATGTGGTGTGGCTGCAGATTATGGAAAATTTACATGCATTCCATCCAAATCTTAAAGCATTCACGTGCCTGACACATTAAATTAGCATTTTAAGAAGTTTTTACATGTATATCAACTAAATCCTATCTATTTATATTTTCTACACCTAAAATAATACTTTTTATGATTATATCACTCAAATAATTTTTTTTAAAATAATAAAATTTAGTTTTTTAAAAATATAATATCAAATTTAATATAAATAAATATGAATATATATTATTATTTAATTATTTCGAGCTGAACACAAATGAATAAACTGATGTTCGTGTTCGGCTCATTTATGATTGAGTTAAAACAAATTGTTTGTGTGCGACTCGCTTGTTTAATGAATGAATCAAACAGACGATACTTAACAAGGTTAACACAAGCTGTTCGTTGATGCCCTAATTGTGAAACTGCATAAAATTAAATGTTAGTCAACAACGACCAATATCCTTCACATCATAGTTAGAGACTTCACTTTACAAGACGTCACAGTTATGATTGACATTTGTGTAGGAAAATATGTTTTTTTTGGCTTTTTTTTATTTTTGGGCAGAGTAATTGTTGGCATCATGTCTATTGTGATGAGTTGTAAGATCCCACCCCTAGTAAATGCATCCATAGCACTAAAAAAGATTGTCTACATATTTGTCTTAGAACCCATTGGCCACTTGCTAAATTATTGTTGTTAGAGAATGCTTTATTTGCTTATGAAGGAATGTTGGGATGTTTGCAAACATCTTTTATTGCTTAGGGAGGTGGGCATGAAGTCAATCATGTCATAAGCATGACCAAATTTGGAATAATAAAGATAGTTTTTGGTTTTAGCCATCTTGGGAATAATCTAAGAGGTGAAATGAAAGGAAGGATAGCATTTAAAATTGAAGCTCTATATTATCTCAATAAGACGAGAAAATTTTATAATAAATTTATCATGATCGATGATGAAGTTCATTTAAGCATAAAATATGAAATAATTAATAGTTTAGTTTGAGATATAAGGGATAAACAAGTTTCGTAAGTTATTTGGAAGAGTTTGTTGTAAAGGTTTATACATGATGTTGAGAAACTCTAGGTAAAGTACGACATCTCATAGATTTAATTTACATATTATGCTATGTAATGACAAATGCTATAAAAAAGGTGACTTTGGAAGATATGGTGTCTTCTACTTTGATATTAAGATCTATTTTCGCCTTCTAATATTTTGCAATGTAAAGCTATAAGTGAGGCCTTCTTGGAAATGGAAGGGTCACATCCAATGAAGGAATGCTTATTTGAGGCTTATGGTTGTAAAGAACCTTTAAGATGATAGATGTCTTGCTATTATTGCTGAGAAGATCATCAGAAGGAGATTGATAAGTTGGTTTGAACACATAATCTAGAATTCATATGAGGACAAGTCAGAGTTATGAAAATGATGGTGAACGACTAGATAGTGAGTGTGGGATTAAATAGTTAGATAGTTAAGAGTTATGAATTTGTACACGGGCTCATGAAAATGATGGTGAATGACACATTAACTATAGTTTTGAGTTCTACTTTTATCTCTTGTTGAGCCTAAGAATAGAATAATTTGATTGGTGTATATAGAAAAGCTTGATTCACAGATAAAAAATTATTTTAGGGACGTCTAAGACTTCTAGTTATAAACAACTTTGTGGACAATGATTTCCATGTAAATGTTAATAAAACCATTATCATGCAAAGAAGAGAATACATTGACACAAATTCTAGTGAAGAACATAAGAGATTTTGTTGTAATAAGGAAGTGTACAACAACTTTGTGGACTATGATTTCCAACTAGAGCAATTCCTCAAGCTTTGGCACAGCCGTTAAGATCATTACGAGAGATCCAGTTTAACTCATATGTATTTTATAAAGGATTAAGCAAACCTTCAACAATGAAGTCCTTAACATGCAAAGGCGAAAATATGTATAAAAATAAGAAGAGAATGAGGGGCATAAGATTTAGAATCATAGTTTAAGGATGATTCAAACTCCAAAGAAGAAGGAAAGCCGACAAAAAGGGAGGTGTTATGTTCAAGAAAGAGCGAAAGGTCTAACTCAAGTATCATGAGCAAAATTATCTATAAGAGTTTCTATTTTTAATGCGACAAAAATAAATTATTTATTTAGAGTAATTTACAATCATACCACACAATTATTATGCATTTACATATCTAACCTCTAATCTTTCATAATTACATCTATAACACTTTGGTGTAATATACTTATGTATGAAAATGTGTATTTCACTTTTAAAATGGGTGAGCAATATTTTGATGTAATATTAAAGATTTGAGTGCTATGTAGGTAAATATATGCACATAAAAAATGTCTCTGCATTCATCTTAAGGAGATCTAACGACCCATGAAGGGAAAAGTATGATGAACGAGACCCACTACTAGGAGATAGTGGGGACTGCCTGACCAAACAAGCTAGGCCAACTGTGGCAAAAATGATTGAGTCATGAGGTGAGTAGGAAGACAATCGAACAATCCAAACACAAGTCATCCAACCAAAAAAAGGGATAAAAGAACATCTGAGTGAATTGCTACAAGAAAGCCGACTCGATGCAATTATCTACCCACAATAAAGTCAGTCCAATGGAAGATCTAGTTCCTCAAGTTCCTCATCAAGGATCGAAGATAGTCAACCAGAAAGAATAAACCATCAAACTATAGCAACTAAGCTTAGCTGACCGAGCAGACTTCGTTGCCCCGAAGGCAACTAAGCTTAGCTGACCGAGCAGACTTCGTTGACCCGAAGGCAACTAAGCTTAGCCGACCGAGCCAGAAGGTGACCAGACAACAAACCCATACATGTAAAATATCAGAAATATCTCATTATATTTCATTTATAGATGACAGACAAAAATGCAATAACATAATTGCATTAAACCCTCTATAAGTACAGGCAAGTATCTAATCAAGAGAGGACATCACTTTTACCATTCATTCTCTCTATCTATTTGTTTTCTCTCCTTATTTACGTTCTATTCCTTGAGTGTAAGTCACTAATAATCTCGAATTCAACAATTTAATAAAAAGAATTTCTCAAAAAATAATCATATAATTTTATAAGAACAAAAAAATTAACATCCATCACAAATTATCCCATACTCTACCATCTAACATTTATAAACATAACTATTAAACTATTTGTTTAACAAATAAATAATAAATTATAAAATATATGGTTAAAATTTATAAATTTACAGAAATAACCTCAGCTCCGATATTTAAGCCACTGAACTTATCTTTCATCATGTTTGTGGATGGTCTACGCCATTTCAAGCGAATTTTGAAAGCCGGTGAGCGATTGGGCCGGTTCGACTATAAATACCCTCCTCCCCCGTGCCCCAATTTTCCGAGAATATCCTCTCCACCATTCTCCGACCTTGCGGGTCTTTTGCTCGAAGGAAAATTCCCTGTAAACTCTGTAAGCGCGATTACCAGCGATGGCGCAACTAGAGGCCACGGATAAATCCCTTGATATCACCGATGAGGAATCGGCTACCTCCCCCTCCTGCGATCGATCACAGGTTGAGGTAGGAAACACCAGCACCGATCCACCCATTTCCCGAAGCGGTTCTTTCAGTCGTCTCAACGCCAGCGCCCCGGAGTTCGTTCCTCGAGCCCCTTCGCCGGCACCGGCGGGCGGACATCCCCGGGTTGTAAAGATCCATCATCACCCGCCTCCCCCGTCACCTGTGATCCACGTCTTCCATCCGCCGCCCCCGCCTCCGCCCACGGTGAGCCCGCAATTCATCCCGCCGGGGCCTCCGAGCGGGGTGTTTGAGTACTACGGGGGCGCGCTTGGGGGAGGTGGAGGGTTTGGCGATCACGAGCCTGTGCAGCCGCCTGCCGATTCCGATTCCGCTTCTCCTGTTAGGGACGGTTTATCCGAAGATGTCGTGCAGAAGATCACGAAGCAGGTTAATCGGTTTTCGATTCTTTTATCGATTGCTGGAGCTTATTTCTTGTCTTATTATGTGCTTGCAGTTTAGAGGGCAAATTAAGCGGTCTCTATGCGTTCAACTTGGTTCCTCGAATGCCATTTGATGGGTTTGGTGACCGGATTCCATGTGGAAATTTCTTTTGATAATTTAGTAGGTGGTATTATAGCAGCAAGCATTTTTTATGCTATTTGCCATGGATTTCACTGCTTGTTTAAATATGTTTATATGTGTGAAAATGAATATTGCCTGTCCTACTGAGGACCAGTTTGTTTCAATATGTGTCCTGAAGTGCTTGGAACTCACTTTGGGAAGCGACTCAAGTTTTGTTTGGTAGGACATTGGTGGAAGTCATGTTTTCGAAACTCCTTCGTCAAGTTGAGAAGCGGGTCCAGTTGTCATAGTTTGCCGTCACCACTTTTTTTTCCTTTTGTTTATAATGTTAGTGAAATAATATTAAGCTAATAAAAGGATTATTTAGGGACCATTTAGTCTAATCAAGTATTAATGTAAGGGTAAGGATGACTGAAAGAAGAGAATAAATAGAAAGTTAAAAAGCAGGAAAAGAATTGTGGAATACTCCATTGTGTTTATTTGGCTAGAATATGGCTCTTTTTATAGGGTTTATTTTGAAAAAAATATACAAATAATATCTTAAGGCGGCAATTACACAAATGACATACAAAGCTATTTACTGAATTACTCCCGAACTAGTTGGCCTCAAGGAGTTGATCTATGGCGGGGTGAACGCAATGTCACCTATCCAAGGGAAGTGCCCCAGCAACAACGCATGCTTCAATTGTTGCTGCACCATATCTTTCCAAGTCGGGATGTCATTACGGTGGTAGATTAATTGTTGAAGCTTCCTTGCCAATTCTAGATTTATGCCCTATGAAGGATCTCTTACTTGTTGCCATGTTCATGAAAAAAATAAATTATTTGCAATAGTGAATTATTTAACACTCTCCCAAGTTGGTTTTGTTAACGTCCAACAAACCAACCATATTTATTAATTTCTCATTTCGGTCTAGCCAATCTCTTGGTCAGGACATCAATAGTTTGATCCAAGGATGGAACATACCAAACACATAGATCCCTTTTCTGAATTTCTTTTTAATGTAGTGTTGATTGGTATCCTCATATTCAGTTTTATCATGATGTACAGATTTGTGCGCTGTAGAGATTGTTGCTTTAATATCAAAATAGAGTATCATACAAGACTTAATAGTTACTCGAATTTCTACATAGAGTAGTTTGGGCTAAATCAATTAAATGGTCGCGGTAGCCAATGATTTGAGTTCTGCTTTTACACTACTCCTTGCCATGACATTTTATTTTTTGCTTCTCCAGTTTACAAGATCACCTCATACTTCCATTTTGAGGAAGTACTTGAGATGGCCAAAATATTTAATTTCAAAATTTTCTGCTAGTTTTTCTCGTAAGGTATTTCTCTCCAAATATGGATCCACTATAATGATGATCTCATCTACATACTCGATCATAATGGTAGAATCTCCATCTTTTTGTTTGTAAAATAAGGAATGATCGGATTCGGTTTGTTGAATCCTTAACGAGTTACAATTTTTGTAAATTTTTTGAATCAGGTGAAGGTGATTGTTTAAGCCTATAAATAGATTTTTTCAAAAAAAATTTCAGACTACCAATCTTCTGAGATTCTTTGACCCCAAAATGAGGATCCACATAGACTTCTTCATTTAATTCATCATTTTGAAAAGTATGCTTAACATCTAGTTGGTAAAGTTCCCTATTCATGTTGATAGAAGGCCTCGATAAGGTTCATCACAATAGCAAAAGCTCTAACATAATCGATCCTATATGTTTGTGTATATCTTTTTGCAACAATTCATGTTTTATTTCTTTCATTAGAACAATTAGATCGATATTTCATAATGAATACTTATTTACATCTCACAAGAATGGCATTTTTACTGAGTGAGTGAGTGAGAGAGAGAGAGAGAGAGAGAGGCAAATGCAGATATATGCATAGAGTCTGAGAGGGTGTTGAAGAGGCGAGTGAATAGGAATTTCATTAACTGCAATATCAGTTGGTCTATAAATTGGTGTTAGTAATGGGTTGGTGAGATTCTGACCCTAAGGGAATTTTTCTAAAGAGGTTATTCCCATAAATGGTGACTCCATGGATATGAATGCTTTATTTTCTTAGGGGATTAGCCTTTGTATCACTTTCAGGTTAGCCCATGACTAAGATACATTTGTAAGTTTGGGGCTCAACTTTATTTGTATTCGGTTCATGTGTGTGTACAATGGCAGTACACACAAAAATCATAGAAGACTTGAAATTGTGCGTGTTTAGAAAGTATCTGGAAAACACATTGGAGTTTTGAACGGAAGTGCATTAGGTAAATGATTTATGAGGTAACAAATAGCGAGAATTGCATGCCCTTTATAATATTTTGTGGTATTAGTGTTGAACATGATAGGTCTAATCATCTTTACTAGATGTCAATTTTTTTATTTGGCTATACTATTTTGGTAAGGACTAATGGGACAAGACTTCTACAAAATGATACCCCTAATTAAAATAACTGCCAAGGGTTTGGTTAAAATATTTTGTATCTCTATCAAAGTGAACTCTTTGAATTTTTGTGGAATATTGGGCTTTAACCATCTCGTGAAACTTTTTGAAACTTTGTTTAACATCAAATTTCTCTTTTAGTAATTATAATTAACACGTGGGTATAATGATCAATAAAGGTGCTTGACCATCTTTTTGAGTTAAGGTTTGCAGATGTTCAAGGACCCAAATATTACCATGTACAAGGTAACAATGGTAAATCGTTTGTTGGATTTATATGATTTAGATTTCATTAGCACTTCCAATCCTCCTCTTTGATCTCTTGTTTCAAAATTCACAAAATTTTGATGAAATTATAAATTTGCATGAGCAATCTCTTGCTTTATTGAAAAAAAAAAAACAATCTTTTGTTTTCTTTAAGGTAAAAGATTTTTAGACAAGTTTGGAACATGTAAACTCTAATATAGGGTTTGTTTGAGGCAGCTCAGTTATTTGTAAAAGTGGTTATAAAAGTGTTATATGAAAAGTATTTTTTTGAAAGCAAATGTCTGTATTATGAATATTTTTTTTTTCTAAAAAATTGAACAGTAGTTTGTTTACAACACACATTTTAGTTGATCTGTTTGAGAAAAATAGCTTTTTATCACAAAAAGAATCTAGAAAATAACAACCAAACCTAGATGTGATGATAGTCTAAAAGGCAGGATAGTGAGAAAATTGTCTTCAACCGACCTTTAACCAAATTTTTAGTTAATTCTAATTGTTCCTTTCACAGTAATAGGGACAAAGTTTTGAGTTAATCATAATTAACCCTATCACAATAATAGGGGATATAAAACCTTCAACAATTTTAACTTAAAGATTACCAGGAGGAGTATAGCTTAAAGAAGCTTCTGAGTCAAATATTTGAGATTCATGTCTTATTTAACACAATTAAGAGCAATTAGAATAATACATTTTAGTTCTAACAAGGATGAGACGCGGTTTCTCAAGACTCAAGGGTGAGTAATTTTTAGAGAAAATTTATTTGTTCTTAGCTCAAAGATAGTTCTCTTGTTTCTTAGTTTTTTTTTGTTCTCCATTTTACTTCCTTGCTTTTAGTTTGATAGGCATGAGTGTCTTTGTGTTGGTTCCCAAAGTTACTCTAATTTGTTGGCCTGTCATGAAGTTGTCAATTTGTTTTTCTAAAATGATTTTCTTTTAAGAAACATGACACCAAATATTGCATTTTCTTTCGTATCTTGAATCTTATACTAGTTTTTGTTCCACACTTCTAATGACAAGAGTTGTGTGATTAGTTGTGGCTCCTTCAAGCATATATTTTCTTGTTATCTTCTCTTCAAATTTTTTGCAAATACTTGCTCATTTTTTGGTAGTGGATGAATTGAGACTTGTTGAAAGTGGTATCTTCTTGTTTTTTTCCTAAGTTGATGTTTTTACCTACACGCTTCCCGCATGAGTCATTTTATTTAAAGATAACTAGTTCTTGCTAAATCTTTATGAGTGCTAAAATAGTCAATAACATTCGTATTTCCTTATTTGAGATCACAAGCATGATATCATAATTGACACAATTGAGAGTAATTTTATGGTTGGAGTACACCATGACGATGTTAACTTTCTCCTAAATTATTGGTTGAGCATCGGTGTCCAATATATTATTCCATAGAATTTATTAAACAAGACATCATGAATGAATTTTTGGTGAAATGTCACTTTGGGTCTATGAATGATACCATTTAGATATCTATTTTTTTTTCTTCCTCGGATTATCATTCGGACCAAGCACAACAATTGAAAGTTGTTCTTTCAAATTGGTTTGTAGGAAGTAATTTGTTGCGGTGAGCGCTCCATGGAGACTCTCGGAATGAAACTCTGGCTCGATCATGTGGAGGAAGTTCGTATCTTCTTTCATTTGATAGACTCCTTTGGTGCCCTCTTGTAATTGGTAACCCTAACTTAGACTGAAAATGGTTATATGTTACCATGAACGAAAGTGAGAAATAGAAAGTAAATAGAGAAGAATTATGGTGTATTTCATTTTGATGAATAGGCGAAATGGAAAAGAAATAGAGAAGACTTATGGAGCATTTCATTGTAATTATTTGGCTAGAATATGTCTCTATCGTATGAGTTTACAACGATAAAAGATAGTAAGAAACAAAATCCTATGGTAGCAATAACACAAAAGAAATCCAATGCCCCTACTAAGAGTTTGTTAAGCTGCTTATCCTGATAATCTGGTGATAAGCAGCTGATTCGGATAAGCTGTCTGTCTGTTTGATTTGTGTGTTTAGAGAACAGCTGATTCTGGAAAAATGACCAATCTGCCCCTGTACTGGATAAGTTGCAGCAGTTTGGTTTGTGCGTTTTGTAAACAATTGATTTGCAGAACTTTTTACAAATTTACCAAACTTCTTAG